TACAGACCCAGAAACTCCGAATGAAGAGGAAGCCACATCCCCTTAAAGAAGTACCCCAGTAACATGCCGAAAATTTATACTGCTAATCTTTCTCCCAGTCTTCCCCTAAAGAGACCTATCGTTTATCTTCCAAAGTAACTGTGCATTGGTGAAAAGGAAATAATTAAACCTTTCAGGGACTACTAGACATGGCTCTGAACAGACATTAATTCCAGAACTTAGATGTCACTGCGGTCACTGATACTTTGAGAAATAAATTTGTGAGGAATGTTTTCTGAACCCTCCATGTGTGGGTGAGTAGATCTTAAATGACAAATCCACTCTAATATACCAATATCTCTAAGCCTTTTGAATCTCTTCCTCTATGTTAGACCCAGGCAGGCCTGAGATTTTCACTTCACTCACTGACATCTAGCCCCACATACTGAGAGAGCCCTTTGTCACTTCCCAATCTCCAGCATTAAATGCAGAACCTCTGCTTACTGAGTCCATATCAATAAATTGTGGTTGGTCCAACTTTAGGTTCCTCCACAATTATTCCACACCCTTAATATCCATTTCCACAGTGCTCCCTGGATTTCAGTCTGTGCAAATCAGAAAACCTATGTAGTTCTCTTGGACAGTAGTGTGCTGCTTCATGAGGCACACTTTGAATCTCACCTTTGGGGGTCTGCAGGGACTTGAGTCTGGTGATTGGTCCAGAAGCAAAACAAAAGATGGATGGTGATAGTGGTGGCCCCTAAGAAGTCAGAATTGTCTTGCATGGCAACTGCCTCAGGAAAAGTCATCACCACGTCCTTGGGCAAAGAAAGGTTAAGCCCCTCAGACAGAGGTAGAATGGCTGATGCCACTGAGGGTGGAGAGGCCATTTCCACTGTGGGTGGGAAGGCCATGTTTGTTGGCAAAAAGACTCAGAATTTAGGAGATCAATGTCCCCAGCTTCACCAGGGTCTTCCCACACATCCTTGTCCTAGCTTACGGGATTCCATTCCTTCCCATTCAATGACCTCATTTTAACAGTAGACATCCTAAGAGGCTGAGAGTTCAACTTGGGCTGTAATTCATCCAGGTACAGGATGAGATTCTGGGTTTGATTTTCAGTCATCTGAACCCTGTAGCTACAGGAGATGAAGGTCTCCTTTAGGGCGCATATAGAAGCTTCAGATCATTTATCTGGGGCGTGAGTTGGGAATTTGAATCCTTGAGCTCATTCTTTTCTTTCCTCATTTTGTCCAGTGACATTAGAAGCAACCAGCCAATCTCACTCTATTTGTTCATTTTCCATACATGCTTGAAAGTATCATATTCACTGTTATCCAGATCGTTGCTTCTTATCAGCGCTTGACTAGGAGGATCCAGTGGAGATATTTTGCATGTCTTTATTTCCAAATCATGCCATGGACCGCCAGTGCTCTCTTTACCACTGGAAAATAGAATAGAATCATTAGCATCTCTAACTCTAATAAGATTAGAGAGCCAATTCTAGAAATACCAGAACCAATTCAGAAAACTCAGTCTTAAAATTCTCTTTCATATATATATGGAATTGGCTCATAAAATTCTGAAGGCTGAGAAGTTCCAAGATCTGCAGTGGGCAAGCTGGGGGCCCAGGAGAACTGAACCCAGATCTTCCACCACTGTTGCCACACACTGGCCCAGGCCACCATCACTTCTTGTCTGGAATGCTCTACCATCCTCCTTCTTCCACCCTTGCTCATGTTCCACATCCCCCTCCCAATTTATTATCTTCATAGCAGAGGGAGTGCTCTGATTTAAAAACACAAGTCAGACAATAAGACCGCCTTGTTAAACAGTTCAGTGATTTCCAGTAACATTCGACTGAAATCCAAATTTCTCAGCATGGCCTTCGAGGCACTGCACCCTGATCACTTGATCTCACTTCTCCTATCACCACCCCCTTGGGGCCCATTTCAGCCTCAGGAGTTGCCTGACCACCTGACCACACAGCAGGCAGCCTCAGAGCTGTTGCCCATGCTGCTCCTGAGCCTGAAGGCACTTTCCCCCGATATCCAAATGGCTTGTTCCTCCTCTGTCTTCCTGAAGTCTCCGCACAGCTGTCACCTTCCAAGTGAAGCCTTCTCCTCTTCCTTGTTTGGGTGACAATGGCCTTGCCTCTGGCTTTCCCCCCCACCCAACGGTTCCACTTGCTCTGTGTCCCTAGAACATAAGCTCCAGGGATGGGGTGTTCTGTCTGCTTGTTGACCATGACACAGCCATTCCTGACTCAATTAATATCTGTTGAGTGAATAAAACAGCACATAAAGCAAAGTAAAATTCGACATGGTTTTGAGCATCAGAAAAAGTATAAGGAAAGAATATCCACTTAACAGCAGAAATGCTTCCCTTTAAGCAGTCTAGTTTGAACACAGTCTCAAGCTACTTAATTATGCAGGGAAATAATTTTATAAAAGGATAAAATATAAATGACATTTTTAGTGTTTAAAATCAGCATAAGGAACATTTCAGTCATTGCATAGGAAGGAAAGTGACAGCTACATGCTTTAATCATCTAGAAGGAAGGCTCTGACAGAGCTGTGAGGTGGGAAGGAAGGGAGGAGAGCCGGGAATGCAGGTTGGCACATTTCCTTTTGGTATAATGCGGGGAAGCAATAGGCATAGTCTACAGGTGAGGCCTCGAACAGAGCCATGATCAGATTTGAGAAGTGCTAAGACGGGGGCAGTGACAGGCAACGTAAATGTTAAATTCCAGAACTTCCACGTGTCAGTGGATAACTGCATAAAAGTCATATATCCAAAGGCAGAAGGATTCATCCCCTGTAGAGGGCAATTTAGCACTGTGTCGAAGGAACACGTGCACAGGTGCACAGGTGCACCCTTCGCCTGTGAACCCCTGCCCTGCAATGCCCTTGCCCTATCCTATGTCCTTGCAAACACATGCATTGATGTGCAAACGGCACCTGGAGCAGCTCAGATTCCAACGACGAGGGGCTGGTGGGAAAACCTGTAGCCCACAGGGCCATGGAATGCTACGGAGTTTACAAAAGAAGGAGCAGCGTCTCCAGGTGCCCAGATGGAAAGTTTTCTAAAATCAGCTGCTAAGTGAAAAAGCAAGGTCCTAAACAGTGTCTACATTGTGCTATCTTTAGTGTTAAAAAAAAAAAAAAAAAAAAAGGCTGAAAGGGCCGGGCGCAGTGGCTCATGCCTGCAATCCCAACACTTTGGGAGGCCGAGGCCGGTGGATCACCTGTGGTCGAGAGTTTGAGGCCAGCCTGTCCAACATGGAGAAACCCCATCTCTACTAAAAATACAAAATTAGCTGGGCTTGGAGGCATGTGCCTATAATTTCAGCTACTTGGGAGGCTGAGGCAGGAGAATCGCTTGAACCTGGGAGGCGGAGGTTGTGGTGAGCCGAGACTGTGCCATTGCACTCCAGCCTGGGTAACAAGAGCGAGACTCTGTCTCAAAAAAAAAAAAAAAAAAAAAAAAGGCTGAAAATAGGAAGGTCTATTTCTATTTTCTTTCGTGCGCATAAACTCCCAAAGGACACATGGAGGACCATGAGACATGACTGCCTCTGGGGGTGGGAAAGGGGCAGACAGGTGCACAGGGGAGAAGGGAGTCACTGCGTAGCTCTGAATAATCTTTGGTTTTTAAACTGAGTTGATGTATTATCTATGAAAACAATTAGAATCAGTGGGCCTGCATATTAGTGGTATCTATGCACTATTCTGAATTACGGAAGTGCTCAGAAGAAGAGCTGAAAGCCAGAAACCAAAGGCGCTGGAACCAGACACTGGGGCCGTGGGAGGAACTTCAAAGACGGAAAACCTTCGCTTTCTGTTGCATGACCCTTTTCACTGGCTGAGATTTTTCTGCACCCATGTTCGTGATTACTTTAATAAGTTTAAAACATTAGATTTGCTAAAAAACAGGGGTATCTGCTACGTGATGTTTTCTGCGATGTTCCGTGACCCACACTACTTCCCTGAAGGATTCGCTGTGCACAAATGCCTCACCTCTGTGGCTGTCAGAGAGATCAAGAAGGTACCAGTACAGCTGCAGGATGAGGGACAGCCAATGGCAGCCGCGCAGAGCTGGTGTCAGACTCAGAGGTGAAGCTGGGGGGCTCCCAGCAGGAGGCAGAGAGTCTTGGGGTGCCCCAGGCTTCCCCAGGGCTCAGGTGGGGGATCAGTTATGGGAACCTAGGCCTCCATGGGCGAATGGCCCAGGAGTGGAGGGAAGGTCCACAGCTTCTCTGAGGTTCTTCGGGAGGTGGAGGGAGTCCTCACTGTACTCCCTGAGACTGAGGTCAGCGTGGGAACTAAGTTTGCTCACAGAGTGAATCACACTGGAATTAAGTGCTACATTTTTGGTTTTATACAATAGAAAAATTGTTCCTTATTTCCTTCAAAGAAAACAAATTTGTGGCTGACTACTTAGCAGAGCTTGTCCCGTCGTCGTCGCGAGGCTGTTTGCCCTTGGGAAGGAGGGGTGGCCCGTCCCTGGCCCTGCAGGCATCCGCGCAGCCAGATGGTCACCCACACGTTTCCTTAGGCATGGGATCCAAACACCAGACGTGCATGGAGCCTGGCGGGCCTTGGACTCTGCGTGAAAGGAAGGCTGTTCTCAGGCCTGTGGTGCACGGCCTGCCAGGGCGGGCGCAGTGGGGAGCTCTTGGCCGCCGGCCCTTCATGGCTGGGTCTCTCTCTAGACGTTCCTTCATGGGCCCCTCACCACCCTGCATACCCGGCCTGGCAGCTCTGCACTGTGGACAGGAGGGGACCTGGTTCTAGAAGACCTTCCATTGTGCTGAACCCAAGGCCCCGGGCGAGCTCCCCACCACCCCACCCCCACCTCCTTTCCTGGAGTGGCCAGAGCCAGTAAGTTCCACCAGTAGGTTCCCTGCCTGCTGCTGGGAGGCAGTTAGGCCTGTGGCTGCTGGAGTCAGATGGCTGAGTCTGGCCTCTCCATGTGAGCTGGGCATGCATTTTCTCACCCCCAAAGCAGTAACGATGTTATCGACCTCACAGTGATTATTATTTTATTTTTCGATGAAGTAGGTTTTGATGTAAGGAAAATGCTCAAAGCAGCTGCAGGCACACACAGCGAGCTGCCGTAAACAGCCACGGCAACAGATTCTCTTATGACGGGTCTGAGCATGTGGCCCTGCTTCGGGACTGGACGAGCGTTCACCAGCTTCCGCCGGCCTGTGACAGGTCTCCTTTCACAGACGAGGGGGTCAAGACAAGGGCAGGAAGGTGACATCCTCCTCACAGAACATGCACATCACAAAGCCATGGGTGGCCAAGGCAGTCGGCTCCAGGGAAAGGCAGGCAACATGACTGTGGACAGAGGACAAGGTCAGAGATGGGGAGCAGCGGCCGGTCTTGGGGCGAAATGTGGACAAGGAGCACCACTGCGTCGCTCCAGGTCACCAGGCAGCGGCCTGCTTCAGGCTGGAGAACTCATGCCTGCTTGTGGAAAGTGATTGTAGCCCCAGATAGCTCAGGGCTGTGAGCAGGGCCCGGCTTGCTCCCCCAAAATGCCATCTCTGTAGATCCAACCTTGAAGCTGGTGTGAAACACGTTATCCACCAGACCGTCCTTTCCAATTATTGTTGTAAAATATAGTTACTGTTTTTCCCAATTTCTGCAGAAAACTACATTCCTCTATTCTCACATGTGAAGTGTGAGATCATAATCTTTGTGTAGAGAAGAAACTGGAGAAGCTGTAGTGGAGGGACATTCTTGGCACCCAGCTGAGGACCACGGCATCCATACAGGTGAATTAGGACAGTAAGGGGCACCATGGCCCCTTACTGGTGCCATGGTGACCTGGGACAGCGAGGGGGCACTGCAGCATCTATACAGGCGACCCAGGACAGCAAAGGGCACTGTGGCATCTGTGCAGATGACCTGGGACAGCGAGGGGCACTGTGCCATCCGTGCAGGTGACCAGGCACAGTGAGTGGCACCGTGGCATCTGTGCAGGTAAATTGGGAAAGCGAGGGGCACCATGGCGTCCGTGCACATGACCTGTGACACATGCCCACAAGAAAAGGGTTTGTTCTGGGCACGCCTACAGGGCAGGCCAGGGGACCTGTGTGTCCTCCCTGCCACGAGGGTCTTGATTTCCTAGCGTTTTCTGGGTCTCTATTTTAAGCATCTCTCCTGATTGTACCTGAAAGTTTTCTTTTAAATCCAGAAACTATTAATCACTGAATGATTCACTGAGAAGTACTGAACCATAATTATGGAATGAATCATATGCAATTTAATAACGATTTAACTCAAATATTTATAAAAATGTGCTCATAGCGACAGTGTGGTTCTGATATTTAGCCAGGCGGGTGAAGAGAAATGTCCCTGCTTTGACCTGGGCCGGGTCGTCCGTCCTGCCTGAGCTCTGTGCCAGGGTAGAGCTCCGAATCCTCTGCCTGGAAAGTGAATAATTCACCGCCAGGCTCTGGAAGCCGAGCCGGGGAAGAGGCCGGGCTTTGGCTCACATCCCTCCCGGTCTCACAGGACCTCCCTGCCCAACCTCGCTCTGACCATTCCCATCGCCTCCCCTCCAGAAGCCGCTGAGGCCTAGGCGAGGGGGGCATCCAGGCAGAGCTCACCAGCACTCCCGGGCATAGCCAGCTCTTCACACATGCCGGAGGCGGCTGGGCCTCCAGGTCTTGAGCCTGGAAGAATTTTCTACCTCAAGTCACATCGGGGCTCAGCTTCCCCCGCCGCAGGCTCAGAAACCCCGTCTACTTTCCAAAAAGTTTGTGGGTGTCATTTTCTCTTCTGTCACCCCCATCCTGGTAGGCACATACCTTAAAACATTCCTTTGACTTGAATAGGCCGTTTTCAGAGAGGAAATGTAGAGTTAGGTTTAATCCACAACCTTGGCCCTCCAGTTTCTTGGGGTTTACGTGAGGGCGGTGGGCTCTGCCAGAGAGTGTATGCGAACGTGATGGTTTCTACCGGAGTGTGTGCGCGGGCGCGGAGGGCCCTGCGGGAGTATGTACGTCGAGTGGGGGGGGGCTCTGCGGGAGCGTGTACGTGGGCGTGGGGGGATAATGTGTATGTGGGCGTGCTGGGGCCCTGCGGGAGCGTGTTCGTGGACCTGGGGGTGGGAGGCTCTGGGGGAGCGTGTACATGAGTGTGGCAGGCGCTGCTTGAGCGTGTACGCGAGTGTGGCGGGCCCTGCGGGAGCGTGGACGTAGACGTGGGGGTGGCAGGCTCTGCGGTAGCGTGTACATGAGTGTGGCAGGCCCTGAGGGAGCGTGTACACGGGGGTGGCGGGCCCTGCGGGAGCGCGTACGTGAGTGTGGCGGGCTCTGCGGGAGCGCGTACGCGGGGGTGGCGGGCCCTGCGGGAGCGTGCACGTGAGCGTGGCGGGCTCTTCGGGAGCGAGTACGCAGGCGTGGGGTTGGGAGGCTTTGCGGGAGAAGCCCCGGAGTAGATGCTGCCAGGTCTGTGACTGAGGGAGATGATCACTGTAGCCAGGAAAATAGACTGGACATGCGAGAAGCAATAGGAAGAACATGGCGTAACAGCTCGGCCATGCGCGCAGATGGGTGCGGTGGGGAGAGGAACTGCTTGAGATGGACCCGCTCTCCAGAGAGACGCCCTTCCGGCTGCGGAGGCCTGAGCCAGGTCTGGAGGAGAACTGCGCTCTGCCTGTCCAGGCGGAGGGAGGCCGTTCTCCTCAGGCAGATAAAGAGAGGCAAGCTGCCAGGTTTCAGCCTGGGAATTTTCCTTTGTAACGTCTTTAATTGTGGTAAAAATCACATCATATAAAAGAATAGGCATTTCCCACCTTAACCATTTGTAAGCGTCCAGGTCAGGAGTGTTAAGTCTGTTTACATCATTGTGAATATTTTCCTTTTCTTAGCACAAGAGGTTTGTAGAGAGGAGCTGCTACGGCAGCTTTTTCTTTTTAAAAACGTTGCTAATCATGGTCCTAGACTGAGAAATCCCAGGCCTGGGTAGTGGCCCCGGTCTGGCAGGGATGGGCTGTGCAGGGCAAGTGAAATTGCTCCGTCTGTCTCCGCTCCCGTCCGCGGGGTTCCACACACCCCTCCTCTTTCAGAAACACCTCGGGTCTGTCCGACAGACGTCAGGGAGCCCAGGGTGCAAAACTCCCTCCCTTCTTAAGGTGGGCTCTTCCTCCCTCATCTACAGCGGGCTCCTTCCAGGCGTCTTTATGTGCAGGTTGGGGGAAGGAAAGAGATGGATGAATTCTTGACTACCCTGCAGAAGTTTTCTGAGAACTGACTTCCTGGGGTGAGAAATGCCCCAGCTCCAGTCTGTGTGCCTCAAGGGTCACCGAAGCCGCTTCTGGGGAAAGTCTGCCTTACTTGGCTCTCTAAACCAGGTCCTTTAAAATGTCCCCCGCTCATTTTTACCGGCGCTGAATACAACCTGTGAGGCATTTTCACCCTTGTAAAGTCAACTGGATTTACGGTCTTGAAGATGCATCATCAGTGTTTGGGGGAAAATGATGAATCTGTAGCCCTTTGGTGTGATAGAAAAAGATCATGTCCACAAATAAACCAGGCCAGCCTTAGGAATAACCCAGACATTCTTCAGAAGCATATGAAATCTAAATAATTTGGCCGTACCACTTAAAAATTATGTTGAAGAGCAGAGACTGTTTTTTAAATACCCTCTCCCATGACTCAAAAATAAAACACACAATTTTGTTCAGTCTTAAACAGTCACACAAAATCACCTTTCTGGGACAAAAAACACCAAAACAAAACACAAGACTAAATAGTTTCAGCCAAAAAAGTTTTCAGAAAGTTATGAGTCACTGAATATAGGATTATAATGAGAGTCTGTGAGTAAACTTAACTAAAGCACAGATTCTATTTTGTATGTGGGAAATCACACAAACAGAGAATAGAAATATTATGGACCCACTGTGTAGGGCTATGTTTATCTTGGCATGTCCGCATTGTAGTCCCGGCGTTGCCAATTCACGTCTGTTCCTTAAAGACCAGGCTCAAAATTCAGCTCCTTCAAAAGCCTCCCCTGATTAATCAACCTCGCCCAAATCTATTCATCCCTCTACACACCCTAAGTGATATGTTTCCTTTTGTTTCTTTACTATATCACTCACAGTTGCTGACATATTGTCATGTAAACATTTTGTGCATTCACAAGAAGTTGGAACTTTAATCATTCTCAGTCTCCTCTTTAATTTCTTCCATGCCTTTCCCACCGTGACCTGACTGCTCTGCCTACAGCAAGTACTTAACGGAGACACACGGCAGCATGGAGACTGGGGTCACCCCACAACCGTTGGAGCAGCTGTGGTCTTTCCATTAAGAGGTAAAATTTGCATCTGGTCCACACCACTGTGCTCTGAATATCAGAAACGGGAAGCAGTGCCCAATGCTTCCCGCAATGCTAGGACAAGTCACAGCAGCACAACATCTGCAGCTGGAGAGGGGATCAGCCTTTTCCAGAACATTCCCCTCCTGAGCCAAGGGGAACGGTGTGGTGGAAGCCAGGCTCGCTTCTCTCTGTTGGGGGGAAGGGGGGGTCAAGGGTGGAGGGCTGGGAGGTGTCAGGTGACCACCCAAAGAAAGGTCTCAAGGTCAGGGAATCCTGGGGCAGGGTGCTGCCTCTTCAGAGTGTGGGATTTTAAAAGCCCAAAGGAGAACTTAGATCCAAGGTGGGAGCTACAGCTTGCACTTCCTGCCTCGATGGTCTTGCCTGTCCCTTTAGATGGGGTGAGGCACCATGTGGTCTGTGCTCAGAAAGGGTTAAGTCTCACCCGCAGCCCTGGGATCTGTCAGCATTGGCGATGAGGCTTCCTGCGGGGAGACCACTACCTTGGAGCGGGCCAGAGCCTGGTGTCCCAAGAGAGATGGTCACAGACTCCCTAGAGGGATGGTGTGTGGTCACTAGGGATGGAAAGGAATTGACCTTTACTGGGCAGTGACCATGCGCCCGGCCCAGGGGCAGGGATCACATCTCAGCTCCAGGTCACCGTTTCAAGACAGGTGCGATGCTCTCTGTTTTATAGAAAAGGAAACTGAGTCTCTGTGGGCCTGGTCCTAACCCAGTCACATGCAAGCATTCATGCCTGCATGAAGTGTGTCTGGCTTCATGCTGCCCCGCCAAGTGGCCTCAGAGAGAGAGGACCCACGACTGGAGGCTGGGATGCCACACGGACTTCCTGTTCCAGCTTGGCACCTGCACACCATGCCTGTGGGCACTCTCGCCACAGACGCAGGAGGACAGAGGATGGGGAGTGGAGCCTGCAGACCCAGCATTGAGATGCTGGGGCTCGCACGTGCTGGGCAGGCCTCTCAGAACACACAGCCCACATGCCTGCCTGCCTGCCCAGCCACGGCCCCCGCACTGACAGAGCACCCCCAGATGCCCTGCTCATACCTTGGACCCATTCCTGGACCCCCTGGACGTTTCTGGCAGATCCCCAGGCAGCGATGCCACACGCATCCTGCTCTGGAATTCCATTATGAGCTCCCAGTGAAGACCAAGTACACCTTTATAATAAAAATACCACCCTTTGTTGGCACACAAACTCTTCATTAGATATTTCTCAAATGTTTAAAAAGTTGGCCCAGAACCACACATGCTTTACCATGAGGTTCCTTCATAGCTGGAGGAAAGCAAGGCCGTCGAGGTGGAGCCTGGGATGCCTCCATCCAAGCCCTCATCTTGCAGACGGGCGGCTCGCCTGGGCTCACCTGTGAACCCAAACATAGCGCCACCTGCAGTGTTTGCGCAGAACCTCTGTGGCTGCCCGGAAGTCACACAGCCCTCGGTGGGTCCGCAGCGGATCAACACAGACACGGCTGCACCTGAGATTCAGAAGAACGGGCGGATGGTGCCTTCCTGCACGTGTAAGAGGAATTCATGGAGCGAACAACCCAACAGAGGTAAACATTAGGGGCTGAAGTGACTCGAGCATATTAAAATGTAGTTTTTCTATTTAAGCTGGTTTCTCCAATGCCTCCATCACCCCATCCATCTATCTGTAGACACAGAGAGGTGTTACTCAATGCCCAGGAGTAATGTAGCATTTAGTTTTGAAGGGTGCCATGAAACAAAGAGATGCCGAGTGTTGCCAAAGACTGGGGCCCAAAGACTCAGCTTCTCAGCTCCTGGCCTGGCTGAGCGTGGGCCTCGGGCACTCTGGTATTCTGGGGAACTGTGGAGGCCGCTGGGAAGGAAGCTGTTTATTGGCATCATCTTGGATTCACTGAAGAAAGCCTCACGTCACAACCTCTGGCTGTTGCTAGCTTCGCTGGGTGTTGAAAGGACACAGGCAGGGGGCGCCCCGGGGCAGCCAGGGGCCTTGTGGCATAGTCTTCCCCGTGCAGAAGCAAAGGAGAGCATCAGATCACTCTGAAACCCTAGTGGAAACACACTGGCTGCCGCAGTGTAGACAGCCGGCCTGTGCTGGCCTGTGGCCAGGCCTGTGGCTTGCTCCAGCCACCCAGCTCAGCGACGTGGACACAGCAAGCTCTCGGTGTACAATCGGCTGTCATGAATCCTGTCTTTCTCATCCTAAATGCCCATCAATTTTGCAAAGCAAACTTACTTGAAGACATGTCAAAAGCTGTGCACATCCCAGGTGGGCTGAAGAAGAGGCAACATTGGTGTAAAAGGAGCCAAGAATTCTCATTTGTTGATGAAAGGTAAAATTACACACCTGGCACGTGCTGCCTGGCTGACCAAGAGTGAAATGTTTTTTTCTGGCCTTTTTTCTAAATGCATTTGCTATGCTAGGCTGAAACAGAAATGCTATTCACATCTGGTGGACCAGACCTTATTTCCACTCTCTGGACATGCTCCGAAGCGCGGGCTGAAGTAGATCAAGTCCCCAGGGAGCCCAAGCCTGATTCCAAGGAGATTGCCAATATTTTGGGAGGAGTAAACATCTTCTGAAGTTTTTTGTTTTCTAAAGCCAAAGAATGCACTTGCGCCTCCTGAGAGGGGGAAGAGGAAGAGAGAGGGGGAGAGGGGACAAGGGAGCCGAGACGGACAGCAGATTCACGCGGAGGAGGGAAGGTGGGGGACGCCAGGCTCCTCTGGGTGAGATGAAGATCTCCACCAGAGGCCCGTTGCAAAGGGGAAAGTGGCACATTTATTTTCAAAAGAGGCACTGCTCCTGGCTTCCTGTGAGCTCCACTTCTACCCTAGTTAGAGGAGGAGGGTTTGATGGAGCTCAGGGTCATGGCCGAGGCTCTCCGGCCTGTGTGGATGAATGCACTC